TTGCTAATGGTATTATTTGCCTAAAATGTAATATTTCTTTTTTCTCTCTTATAATCCAACTTAGATCTCAAGGCCCAATTCAAATTAGTACCACATCTGGGATCTCTACAGACCCGATTCACAACTAACAATTTCTACTTTATATTCCCATAGGTTTAAAAAAGTATCTATTCTAGTATTTATTAAAATTTGACTAAAAGTAATGTATGTTTTCCTGCCTCCATCATTGGATTATGAGTTCCTTGATACATGGACAACACTTTATCAATTTCTCTCCCTTCCATTTTGTATAATGGCTTACACATAGTAGGTGCTGTATAAACTTAAGCTATTAGTACATGAAATGAAAGATTCATTCTCTCCTAAAACAGAAATAATCTGTTTTATAATAGAACATTAAAGGGACCAGCAGTTGGCATAATGGCTATGTTACTGGGCTACCATGTAGTCAACCATGGTTTGAGTCCCGGACCCAGTAGCTTAAAACTCACGCTGGGTGCGGGTACGTGAGTGCCCAGGATCCTGAGAGGAGAATGGAAGAGAAGGGATTGCGGTGTGGCCATACTCCCTGGGGGGCGATTTCTCATTTTCTGTCTGTCTTTTTCGTGAGTGCATGCACCCTATAGCAAAAACCTCTCAAAAATAAAAAAAGAACATTAAAAATAATTTCCTTACAGCCGGCAGGTAGCATGGTGCTTAAGGTGCTGGACTCCTACATGACCAACTGCAGTTTGAGTCCTGGACCTGGTGGCGTGGTTTCTCACTTCCCCTGTCTGTCTGTCTCTATCTCTCTCACTAAAAATAATAATAATAATAATAATAAAAGATATCTTGCATAAAAGGAATAAAACTAAATAAATAATTCTAAAAAACAAGAAAAGAAAATAATTTTCTCTGGGCCAGTCAGTGGTATGGCAGTAAAGGCAGATGGATCCCATGTGGTCAACTTTACATCTCCAGTTCCATACTCGGTATCTCAAAAAACATGTTGGGTATATGTGCATGCATGTCCAACATTCCAAAAGGAGGAAGAAATAGGGAAGAAGGGATTGCAGTATAACCATCCCCCATGAGGGATGTTTTCTTACTTTCTCTCTCTCTCACTCTCTCTCTCTTGAGTTCATATGCCCTCTGACAGATTAAAAAATAACAACAATTTTCTCAAAAACTCTAAGAATTAGTAATTAAAATGCAAAGTATAGACTGACGGTACTTTCACATATTAAATATTGATACATTTAAATATTGGGTTGTCAGGAAAGTCAGACACACTTTTGCACAGAAAAACCAGAAAAATATTTCATGACTTTCCCAACAATCTAATATTATAGACAGAGAATTTGTATATTTTAAAGCTTCTTTCTATTTGGGAATCTTAAACTATATAAAACTCTTAAACATCTTCTTGAAAACAAAGACTAGTAACATTTGATAATGCATTTAGTATAAACAGAGACATGAGTTTTCCAATGCCTCTGCAGTAAGGGAAAATTCTCAAAGGTTTTGGGACACTGGACCTAAGAGCATTGGAAATAGATCTTAAAAATAGGTGCATTGCTCCTTCTGGAGTGCGGATGAGTAGAGCTGCAATGAGTAGCAAGATGGGAAAGAAAGTGCTACCCTAGAGCTAGGAAAACCAGGACAGTGCCTTTTAACTTCCCTGGAGCCAGAGCCTCCAGTGGATTTCTTTCTAATCCTGCCACCTATTGACCAAATTGTGAATCAAGGCACTGCTGGTGACTAGAAACTTCTATTACAGGAAGATCAATCAATAGGTATTGAGGGCTTTTTTTAATTTTTTTTTTTATTTTTTTAAGACAGCTTTATATCATTAAAATTTGTTTTGGCTATGCTATGCATGTCTGCAATATGCTATCATGTTTAATTGATCCCTTAAATGTTCCTTCAGAAATAAATCATAGTGACAGTAATGGCACTGAAAGGTACCCCTGTCCTGATTTGTACTTAAATATTCAAAATTAGGAAAGCAGAAGTAGTGTCATATAGAAGATCAAAGTTAGGAGAAATGGAAATGCAGCATTCTCAGCAGTGAGTACATGACAGCCTGTATATGATTTTTGTTTGGTTTTACTTTGGCTTGATTAGGTTTTGGCAGCTGCAGTAAAGAACTGCTTCTATTATGTAACTGATTATAGCTCTACCAAGTGCTGCACAGAAGAGCCAGAAATTATCTTGCTGAATTAACAGTTGTATTAAGTGTCAATAACTAAAACAGAACAAAACACACACACACACTCGCCTTACAACTTAAGGTTAAAGGAAAAGGAAATTCATATTTAAGTGCCTGTGAGATACCAAGCACTGCACTGAATGCTTTCAATATATAACCTTATTTAATTCTTACAACACTACTACTTGAACATTAGTCTATTCATTCTACGGATGAGAAGATTCAGTCTCCAAGGTTACAAGCATCATAGCTGGAATGCAACTCTATGTAACTCTATCTCCTCTGGCTTTTCCTCCTATACTTACACTGCCTTTAGAAATTCACTGATGGGTTTTACACTTACCTCTCTGTCTCTAACTTTAGTTTCCTTATTTCTAAAATAAAGAATCAGTGCTTAATCACTTCTGAAGTCCATACTAACTCTAACATTTTATGAAATCTATGATTTTTGTAGGACAATACAAATAAATCAATACATAAAAGAGCAACTGCTCAATAAAAAATGTGCCAAGAACTAGAGGGGGAAATTCACACAAAATGAATTAAAATCACCTAGGAATAGAAGAAAATGCTGTTTAAACTCACTCTTAAGAATAAAAATTTTAACACTAAGGATTTACCATTTTTACCTGTAAGATACAGAAAGGTTATAGGAAAACAGATATTCATATACATTCTCGGTGACACTGAACTGACACAAACTCATTAGAAAGAAATTTTACAACATCTTTCAAAATTCTAAATTTACACAGGACTATATTCAGGAGTTTTGATTAGAATTTATCCTACAGATAGCATCACATATGTGCACAAAGGAATATTTAGAAACATATTTGCCACAGCATTTCGTGACATAGTGAAAGACTAGAACTAATCGAAGTATCTATCAATAAAGAACTGGTTAAATGAATTAGATAAGCCTATGCCACAGAATTCTATGTAATATGTAAAAATAAAACGGTCACGGTACCACAGACAGTGGGGCACTGTTTGGCAATGATAAAGCCACATGAGGTACCTGGGATCAGATCCCAAGTGGATCTGAACATGCCAAGTAATGCCCATGTATGCCTATGATCCTGGCTGGCTAGGAGGCTTCTGGGGAAGATCACAGCATGGCAAGAACCTTTCAGGGATCTGTGTTTGTGTGTGTTTGTGTGTGTGTGTGTGTGTGTGTGTATGTATGTGTGTTTCAATTTTTCATGAAAGAAAAAACAGGAAGAAAAGGAAGGAAGGAAGGAAGGAAGGAAGGAAGGAAGGAAGGAAGGAAGGGAGGGAGGAAGGAATTTTTAAAAAAACACAGTAGATAAACAAAAGCTCCTATAGAATAATCTCTAAGTGTATTTTGTGAAATCAATAAAAAATAAAAATAAAAAATGATAAATATACATGCTTCGAGAGGCATAGAACATTTCCAGGAAAGCAACACAAGAAATTAGTTAAGAAAGATTTTATCTGTGGAGAAAGCTGTAAGTCTGGGTATAGTTTTTTTTCATTTTTCTCTGTATGAATAGTATGCTATAGGCAGTTTTGTCCATTTTAAAAGTAACGTAAATAAATAGTAATTTCTGGGGTCAGTGAAGAACCTTTTAAATGTGAGATTTACTATACCACATAAGAAAAAAGAAAATAAAAAGGAGTCCTAATGGCAGGACTTTTTAAAAATGTGAAAATTCTTCAGAATACTCTAATT